ATGGCACAAAAATGAGGAAAACAAAAACAAAACTGAGAGAAGAGAAGAGCAGAGAGGAGAAGAGCAGAAGACACCAGCTGACAGAAGCTGAGAAGAGGAGAGAGGAGTGTGGCAGCTGCAGTGTATGAGGATGTGGGTGGTGAGACGTTTCACTTGAGCATGAGCGCGCTGACATTTTAATGGAATCTATAATACATGCGAAGTGGGTCACTGAATGGGTGTCCTATTTCCACGCCACAAGGCACAAGGTTCCCCTCAATATCTCTCTCTCAAAGTTCAACTGTCAGCTGGTCTGGTTTTAGATTTTTTTGGTATAATCGCACTAATAAGAAATATTTGGACAGTAGAAACTGAGGTACTGTGGTGACATGTAGTCTATGAGTTGTTGTCTCCCAGTGGGTGAAACTTAAGGTGACATGTCTTGGCATGGAGAGCTTAGAAAACACACATTCTGTCAGTTTTTATGTATGTCAGACTAAACCGCCCACATGCATTTCTGGCACCGGTGTGGCTCCAGGGATGGCAGCTGGTCATTGGGTCAGTCTGTTAGACCAACACTTTGCTTTAGAGAGAAATACTGCTGTATATCTCATACTAATAAACTAACCACCATTTTCTTGTGAGTGTCAACTACATTTAGATATATTGATGCTAATATAGCATGCTAGTTACACTAACTAACTAAATGAATATGAACCTGTTAACAAGATAGCATGCTCAAGGCTAGCATGTTATCCGATGGTTAACATGCACACTAAGGTTACCACGATAGCTCATGTTAGCACTCAGCTCAAAGCACAGCTTAGCCTAAGTACAGCTGAGGCTGAGAAGTACAATTCTGACCATATAAAATTGATTTTTAAGTCAGGTAAAAACATGGTCTTAGTTTCACTATTACTCATTCATCCAATTTTGCTTACTTGTGTGTAATGGACATTAAAAGGACCAGTGTGTAGGATTTAGTGGCAGGGTTCCCAAAAACATGAGATGCTCTATCTAGACCTAGTGTTTAATTGGTTCCATTTTGGGCTACTGTAGACATGGCGGTTCAGCATGGTGGCTTCTGTAGAACAGGACCCACTCCCTAGGTCATTCTAAGGTAACAGAAACACAACAATTCTTATTTTCAGGTGATTATACACCAATAAAAACATACCTATGAATATTCCATTTCTGAAAATAGATCCTCCTAAATGTTACACACTGGACCTTAATGCCTCACAGCTAGTGACTTCTTGTTCAGAATCTAAATCAAAAAAAGGTACCCTGTGGAGAGTTTGACCACTAGTAGTGCTATGGAGCAATGTCCATGAGGACACACATGCACCCAACTCAAGCAAAATGCTAACAAAGGCTACAAGGATATACACAATGTATCTTTAGGTATGTATATCTATGTATACGTATAAATGTATGTATGTTGTACATAATTTCTTCAAATAGATTTAAAACAGAATGACACTTTAATTTAAGATGATAAAATAAGAATTACTCCCTATGCCATTACTACTAATATAACTAATGTAGTATCAATTTCATCCACCATCATTACCCTGTCCAAGCACTCTTGGCTGACCTGTGCTTCCCTGATGTATCTGTTTGAGTATGCCTGTTCCTATTAGAAAGGTCCATTACTTCATGCTTTGTTTGAAGTGAGAGTCCTCTGTGATGACTACTTTATCTTGCCATCCTGAAGAGCAGGAGTCCACTGGGACTACCAGGCTTTCAAGTTTAACATCCCTCACTTCGAGCAGAAGACAAGGCTCGAATTCAGCTCAACTGAAAGCTAAATTTCTCTCCAGTCAACATAAAGCAAGAGATCAAGAGTTGCAAGAGCAAGATAAAAGATGCTCCCTAATTCAAAGCAGCTGGAATGTAAAGATGATTCACACCTCAGTGGGAATTCCAAGATCTGCTCTGATAAGGAGATGTGCCTCGGACCGCTCTCATTGTTCTGCTATTCCTGTTTTGTAGCACTGCCAAGGCTCTCTGGTTTCACTAAACGACTGTTAGAAATGCACATAGAAAAACCAGGTGGTCTGCTATGCACAGTTGCCACACCAAACTGTAATTTAACAGTTAAGTAGGTGTGATCTCTGTGATAAAACAGGATCTAGCAAAAGTGCTTACTGTACCATAAAGACATCTCTCTAAAAGCAATACGGTTTGATTTTTGTTGAAGAGGAGACTGAAACATAGTCCATGAAAGCTGAAATTCTGATATTTTGGTATTTGCCAATATTCTCTTTCGGCACACCCATGCTACTGTATATTGAAGCTGACTGTGATTTGTATTGACGTGGCTGTCAGGGTTACTTTGCTGTCAGTTGGTGTTAAGTGGGTCAAGCTTACAGGACAGCATTAGACCGCAGTGAACGTAGTGAATCCTCTTGTGTAATGTGCAAGAGCCACCTTTAAAGCTGCAGTGTGGAACTTTTGTCTCCCCCTCTGGCAGTGAGAGTAATTACACAAAAAACAGAGTCAGTTACAGTCTATGTGTGTGTATCAGTACAAAAAAAACGATATAATAAAATTAAACTATGAAATACGGCATTTTTGGCTGGTTGCAAGGGTTGGCAAGCTAACCGATCACTCTGTGGACGGACTGAGACCCTTTAAAACGCTTGCATTGCTGGTTGATGTAAAAAGGTATAAAAACTGGTGCTTCAGTGCGGGAAAGTCATGTGTATACTGCGAAATACAGAGAGACGTACCTGGTGGGGATAGGCGTGATCAGCCATGTGTGAACTTGTTTGGAGAGGGCTTGAATGTAACGTACCTTCAGGTCCCGCACTCCAGCTTTAAAATCCTGTAAAACTGCCTTCCAATACTTCTGATGAGAGAAACGTTTAAGCCATAACTGCAGTCTCTCTCTTGGATGTCTACTTAAAACTAATGTCGTTCCCCCATCTTTTAACCTCTGCTTCCTTTTTCCGCTCCTGTCACTGAAGTAAAGCAGGATGTATTTATAGATGCATTTTCCGCCACAGACAAACACTTGTGACACCTTTGAAAGGCCGGCGCTGTTTCGTTATGCCTCTTAAGAGCCGCATTAATGGGAGACAGCATTCATCGCCGCACGTGGCAATTTACATTACACAGCTGACAAAGATGTGGCCTTTTTACTGTCAACCCTCTGCTCTAACTTGTTGAGTTAGTAACACAATAATATAGTGTTGTTGGAAATTGTGATATTTTTATGTGTAAATTATTGTCGTTTAAAAGGGATTTTGCTGACTTTTTTTGGCAGATGTGAGGACAAATGCCATTAAGAGTGGCATTCATAAAGATAGCCTATTGCAGAGCTGTCTTCCACCTTTCATATTTTTGAAAGCAGCCCCCCCCGCCCCCTCCTCTACAGCTGCCTGCACACTGTGGGAAGGCAATATGCTTGGCAGGGTGAAACGAAGTGCCGGGCTCTCACACCTTCCCTGCTCCCCCTGTCATTATCAGCATTTAGAAAGGGTAAACAAACCTCAGGTGTCCCGGCACACCACTGGCAGGCAAAGTGTCCACCCTGCTGAGACATCTTGTCGTCCCCGCTGCGCACAGGTCACAGCCCTCTCTTCCCACAGCCTCTCTCCACCTCCGTTCGCTCACTTCCTGTTTTTCATTCTCCCGGGTCGTGACAGAGCATCTACTTTTCTCGCTAATCCCATGAATGTGTACGGACGCTTCCTGTCTCAAGACATCTGCTGTGTGACAAACAAAGTGACAAACTGCTTCCCTAACTCTTGACCCTTTGGTGCTGGTCGTGACCTGAGCTATAATTTCCAAACAGGGAGAAGTGGTTTGCCCCCATTGGCATACTGTCAGAGCAATCAGTGCTTCACACAAATAGATTTCAACCCCGGGGAGTGAGTGAATTAAGCACGGAGCTCCGAGGTCTCACTAGCGGCATGCCCGGCCAAATGAAGATCAATATCCTGATCTGTAAGTTTCTGACCCGGGACACATCACTGGGCTAAAAGGATGGTTGTTTCCACCATAAATTACTCTTTCAAGTGGGATTATTCACAAGATAAAGCGTGCGGTCAACGAATAAAGGGTGACCATTACTCCACTAACAGGAGATGAATGAGATAATGATGAAACATGAGTTGAAGTTTTAGAGTGTCAGACATTTGTCGTCAGGCTGTTCCACCTCATGTTGTGACCACTGGGACTTTATAGATGAATTCCTTCATTTAGATTTCATTTTAATTGCACCTACACAGTTTGGTGCCTCTTTAAACCATTCCCCCTCAACACTGACATACTGATACAGTGCTGTTACCACTCCAGAGTTAAGAATGGCACTCAGATCAGTTTACTCGTCATAAATAATAACACTTATCCTGTGGAAACAGTTGTATGATGTCTTCTGTGACTCTTGAAGAGCTTTCTAAAGGAAGTTGGAAGTTTACAAATCCTATAACAATATATGTCGGCTGATAACATAAATAATGATCACATCGTAAATTTATAGGGTTAGTTAGTTTTTTGCTTTCATTGTGACCATATGCATACTGGGTAACCTTGTCAGTGCTCTCTGGAGGACCTTATGTACTGCACTTTCTTGGCATTTATCATCCAACATATACACAGATATCAGCATTAAGCATAAAAGCCAACAGAGGCTATTGGTTGCATAATGGAAGGTGTAGGATCCAGCATTTTTGGACCAGACCAGTCTCTCACAAGTCCCCTGACTGTATAATAATAATAATAATAATAATAATACATTTTATTTAAAAGAGCGCTTTTCTAAATGCTCAAAGACACTGTACAATATAATAAAAGTAGAATACAAGAACATAATAGTAAGAAAAAACAAAAAAAACCAAATAAACAAATAGAAACAAACATTACAATTATGTAGAAGCACAACACAGAAAATGATAAACTTCAATGATTTTTGTATTATTATTATTATTATTATTATTATTATTATTATTATTATTATTATTATTATTACTTACCCCTAATATCTAATGTAACTTCATGCTGTGCTTACTTACCCAGAATCCTCAGCTGAGTCACAGCTCCATGCAGACCAAAGAACATCCAGAGTGGGCGGGAGTTGTCCACACACACCTGCATGCCCACATTGGTGCCGTTGTGGCTGAGGATGACCTCTCCTTCCTGGTTGACCAAAAAGCCCAGGATGTCACTGCTTTGGAGGGGCGTTGGCACTCGACACACTGCCCAAAACTCCTTCCTGTCCACCAGAGCCTCCGGATTGTAGGGCAGGTCGCTGGGGCGCAGCACGGCTGGGTCGCAGGACGTCACCCCATAGGACAATGAGCCCGAGCGTGCCGGGCTGGATTTGGTGACTTTGATAAAGACGGTCTCTCCGGTGCGCAGGGGCCGGTTGGTGAAGACTAGAGTGCGTTCCTCTCGTGCGTGCTCAGATCGCGCCACTGTCTGCTCATCCAGCGTCTTTATGTGGGCGCCGCGCAGCTGGTGGAAGTGGAGGTCGCTCTCCAGGGCAGACGGCAGCAGGGAGGACTGCTGGGAGTTGAGGGAGTTCTGTGGTATGGGGCAGGCGGAGGAGGAGGAGGCCGAGGCGAGGTGGAGGGTGTGGCGGTGGGAGTGAGCGTGGGCGGGGTGCCCGTCCTCCTGCTGCAGGTTGAGGTCGCACAGGCTGACGGACAGGCGGGAGTCATCAGCTTCCCGCCGCAGGGAGGAGGAGCGCACTGTGGTGAAGGAGCGTGGGCGCAGGCAGTCAGGAGGAACAATCTCGCTGTCTGGAAGGGAAGGGGGAGAGAAGGAGGAAGCGGGATTGAGACAGAGAAAGAACAACGGTTAATAGCGGTCTTACTGTGTTTTGCTTTGATTAGCAATTTGCCTGAGGCCTGTGGCGATGAAGTTTGCAGTCAGCTGAATCCCAATTGTGAGCGTACAGTTCTAAGAAGGGCTGAATCTGCAGCTAGTCTGACAACAAGATAATGATAAAAAAGAGAGCAATTTAACTTCAGTTGCACAAGTTGAACGCAATGTTGGATAGTTCTAATTACTCAACGCTGCGGTAAATGAGAGTGTCAGGAAGTGTGTTCAAAGATGAAGAAATGAAAGAAAGTAGTCAGTGGCTCCTATATCTGCACGGAGCTGAATCATCTAGTTTTATACAAGAAAATGCGGCACGGTGTCAGTTAGCAAGGAACAAATTACTTTGCTGAAACAAAATTGAATACATGCGTGGGTGTGTGCGCGTGTTAATGTGAGTATGTGTTGGTTGCATTCCTCGCAATCCATAGTATGGTATCACTCCACAGAGAGCCATTAATATCAGCCAATACATGTCTGTAATAGCAGGAGAGGTGGTCACATGCACACAAATACACACACACACATGACTCCACCTCTGATAAGCTGCCCTCAGGTTGCTTACCGTCTCATCCTACGCCTCAGCACAGCTGCTCAAAATAACACCTCTACATGTGCCCTCCCTCTCTCTTCCACCCCCACCCCGCCGTCCAGGCCTGGTGGTAAGGGTAAAATTAGCCCAGCGTCCTGAGAGAGACCCCTGTTACTCTGAGTGGGCTGTCCGGGTTTGTGTGCACATGTGTATTTGTAGGACTGACAGACGGAGGAAACAAGAGACAGAGAAGAAAGAAAATAACCCCCACACACACATATGGGAGATTATGGAGATACTGAGAGACCCTCCTCAGCCAAAGTGTGGAGGAGAGCAACTGAGACAAAAAAAGGGGTGGGGGGATGGGGGAGAGGATGGAAGATGAAAGACAGCGACCAGCCGCTGACTGTCTCTGGAGAGCCTCTCCAGTCCTGGTCAGCTCCGGGCCCCTCTATCTGACCCGGACCTGAGAGCCTGACTCCGGATAAACCTCTTAGCCTCAATTACCAGGGCTGTGGGACAGGGCTGCCCACCACTGACTGTAAACTGCAGCAGTGAAAACAGAAGATCTGAGCCTCTTATGATGCCCTAAAAGGGGTACAGGCCAAAGGAAGACAGATTCACGACAGCCCTAAAGAAAGCAGACTGACACAGGCTGACCCAGAAACTGTTTGCAGTTTGTTTCTCAATATAGTTTCAACTTTATTTAGTTGCTAATTAATTACAGCAAGTGGTAAACTGAAAAGAATTGCAGTGGACTGCGGTGAGATTATCAAGGCAATGATTACCAAGCATTAATACACAAGTATAATGTGGGAAGAAGTTAAATACAGTGATGTTGGGTTAACAGAGTTTCTTATTTACACACTGCTGTCTATGAAGATTACAGACAGATACTGCAGGACTGGGATGTTTTTTTGTTTTTCTCTACTAGTGTCGATACTAGAGTGGATGCGAGGGATGAACTGTTGCCAAGGATAGAAAACTATGGAAGGTTGCCTCATGCCCTCCAAGGAACGAAGAGGATTCAGTAAGAAAGTGTCAATGCAATTCCTGTTTTTCAGTACCAAAACTGTACTGTTTTTGATGCCTTCAGTTCAATACCTTTTTTTGGGTAGGAAAAGAAGTTCTGAAATGTTAAAGGTCCAGTGTGTAACATTTATGAGGCTCTATTGGCAG